TCTGTGTGTATGCCATGCACACAAGAAGAAAAAGTCAAAATAGGACAGAAGAGGGGAAAGAATGGAGACAGAGAGGTGACTGAGCAGAAAAGGGATGGAATCCAGCTCTTGCAAGCACAACTGCAGTGGAAAACGTTGGACATTGCAAACAAAGCGTGAGAAGCAAGCCCAGCTCGGTGATTCCAGCAGCAGCAGGACAAGTGGCCATTCACATGAGTCTACAGCTTGTCTGATCTCTTCGACTCCCGATGCCATCTCCAGAGCCGTGAGAGAGCAGCGCAGCGCTCACAAGGAAACTAGCAGCAGAGAACAAGACATCACAGGCACTGGCAGTGTGGGACGGGAACCCCCAGAGAAACAATAACCACCTGGCAGGAATCACACGCTCCCTCCTCCTCACGCCCCCAACAGCAGCCTGACAACAGGCCTTGCTCAGCTCATGCATGAGCTGCCGCCGTCAACTGCTCTGTACAAGAAAATTTGCCACAGCAAAAAAAAAAAACGACATCTGGAAGAGATGATCTGTAGTCTCCATCTTCACGTAAAGAATAGGTTCAACAAATGTCTCTCAGGTGTTTGACTTGAGTCAAAGTGATGTTGCCTAAAGGAAAGCAGTGGACTAGATCTTGATTTCCAACTTGACCTTTCTGGCTTTTCAAGGCCGGATGAAGTCACAGGAAATTCACCTTGCCCACCTGCCCAAAGGGCCAACCGATCTTCTCACTCTCAGAACTGGAGAGCTTGAAACAACCTGGAATCACACACCTCCAAGACAAGCTTCTCTTTCACACATTGCAAAAAAACTCCCAACTGTTTTGAAAGTCAGATCTTTTAAGTATAAGAACTTGTGAATAACTTATAGAGAAGTCTGATTCTATCAGTCCTTTCTGATTTTTTGCGTTACCCTAGAAAAGGATCTTGACAGATGAGAGAGAAAGGGAAGTACCTCCAGCCTAGGTGGCACTTGGGTTCACTTTAAAAACCTGCTTCAAGCAAAGCAGTGAGAGAAATTCAATCAAACTAAAGCAATGATTTCAATGCAGGAAAGGGGGCACACAGACACTTATTTTTTGACCGATCCAATGAAGTGTGAATTTGCTCGGGTCAGCTGTGCTCTGCCTTGCATTGAAATATTGACATTAGCTTGAGAGAACACAGGCTGCACCTTGAGAAGACAATAAGCATAATAAAAAGGCAGCTGGGGGCGAAAGGCAAAGCAGGCCACTTCTCCACTGCCAGGAGAGGGCCTGCAGGGAGCTTTCCTCTGATACTCCAACCCAGTGGCTAAAATGAAAATATATTGAGCCGACAAGCAGCCTCCTGTAGTTGTTTAACGATGCCCACTTAAACCCCACAGTGCAGATAAAATAGGCCTCTCCCTCTCCATGCACCACGCAGCGATAAGACAAATCTCTGCAGGACACGTGCCTGCTGCAGCTCCTTCTCCCCCAGAGCTGGCAGCTCCCCTTCGCACGCAGCCAGCATCCTTCCCAGTACTTCCAATACTGGGCCAGCAGTAGGGAAGGAGGGCAGCACAGCCCACTCTCCCAGGCCACAATGTCCCCTGCAGTCACAGCGCTGTCCCTGGTCCATCACAAGCACTGGGATGGGACCGAGCCAAAGGGGTGTTTGATGTTTGCTGGCAAGGCTCTCGTTTGAAGTTATCACAGCTCAAATATTCCTCAGGTGAGAGCAAACCCCAGTCCTGGGGTCTGACTTCTTTGGTGGAAAGCTGTTCCCCCAGTCACATGAATGACTCATTTCTAGGTTTTCCTTTTCTGTCACATTTACACTGGAATTTCTAATGGCTGCTGATTTGCATCATGCCAGCCCTGCCAACTGCCCACAGCCTCTTCATCCATCAAGCCAACATTTCTGCAATTACCCTTTGTTTGCATAGTTTATTTAATGAGACATCCGGAAAGCCCCGAGGGACTTGCAGCTGGCTCCTGCCCCCGTGCAGACCACATCACTGGTAAGGCTGCAGGATTCAGCCTCACACAGATGCCCATTCAGCTGGAAGTTCAGCTGGCACTGAAAAAAACATCACAGTTCCAGTCTGCCTCGAAGGAAGAAGCAGACAAAGCTCAAGAGAAACCAGCTACGTTGCTGCAGATGAAGTAGCCAGAGCTGGGGGGCTGCTGGCCATGCACCAGGGACAGCACTGACCTCTGAGTTCCACTGCTAGATCCACTCTGATCTCCCCCAGGAGGGTTCAGCACTGCCCAGCCTGCGCCTGCTGCAGCTCCTCCTGCCCTCCAGCTTCCCTCCAGCTTCAGTTCACGGCATCCCCCAGCCTGCCAGGCCTCCTTTCCGCAAGAACTGGTGCCCTCCCGTCCCAAGCTCTTGTGCACCACAACGGTCCCTTCCTCTCCCTTCTCCTGCTGAGTTTCACTGCAAAGGCATTCCTCCTGTGCAAACCGTAGGGACACTTCTGTACAGGGAAATCCCCAGGGGTCCAGGGAGGTCACTGGCCTGCCCTTCTGTCTGTCCCCATGGGCCATCTCCTATTTCATCTGCACATACCTGGTGGACCTCCATTCCAGCTGTCCAGGCTCCTTGGCAAGCTCAGAGCACAAGCCCTGCACCAAATGCCAGCCTTGATTAAAAGATCAGTGACATTTTCATATATGTATGTGTATATGGAAATTTGCTGGTTTAATTTATAAAAGGGCATATTCAAAGAACATTCGCTGAAGGCTTTCTCCAAAACATCTTTTGTAAGCACCATTTTGTTCTGTCAGGCCAAGGAGGCTGCAAGCACGAAGATAAAAAACGGCTAACAATGTCTTATTTTGCAAGAATCGCTTCTCTGGTTATAATATTTTTTTATTTTTAAATTTTGCTCTCGAGTTTCTGTAAGATTTTACACTATTCAGACCTTTAACTAGCAAAACTAGTAATAACTATGTAGACCTGCCTGCATCTCTGTGTAACCTTAAAATTCAACGCACCGAATCCTGCCATGTAAATGTGCTGGGTAATGAGCACGAGGCCAGAGCCTGATCGTCTAATCAGAAGAGTCCACTCTAACAGGACCTGCCTTTGGCATCATCTCAATCAGAAATATGTTTTGGTACTTTATTGATAAAAAGAATATTCTCTTAACCTTGTAACTCAATCCTGAAAAGGGCTTCAGGGACAGGCAATTCAGCGATTAGTGATAAGCACAACAGAAACACCCAGGAGGAAATTAAGTATTGCTTAGGTAGCACGCAATAAACCTAACAGGGTCACGACGCAAATTACGATTAAAAAAAAAGAGACAGTGAGCACGACACACTCACCGAATGCTTTTTGTCCGGGCACTGAGCGGGTCGCTCCATGAAACGTGAGTGTGTCATTGATACGTGACAATGCACACACCTCAATTCTGCTACTCGAGAGCTGGGCATTCGCCTTCACAGCCGTCACATCAAAAGGCTGAGAGGAGACCTGACTCATGCAGAAGACACGTCACCCAGCTCTAGGCCAAGGACACTGCTCGGCTTAACAGGCCACGCTCCCTAATACGTGCTGGCAGCTTCTTCCATCAAAAGAGAGGGGCAGCAGGTGAGGGAGGTGAGCAAAAATCCTTTTATAACTGAAATTGCCAGACACACTCAAGCTGCCAGACTGATCTAGGAATTACAACAAAGGTCAAGGAGGAACAAACCTGGCAGTTTGGTTTTCCCAGTGAAGGCTGGGACAAGATCAAACTGGTAAGAAGGGAGTGAGGAAGACAACGGAGCACCAGGGAAGCGGGGGATGCTCTAAGTCACACATGTGGCTGCAACCATGAGTCTCACATTCCCTGCAAAGGAAGAACGTGCAGAGCAAGAGGAGGAAGGCCAATTCGTATTTCATATTCTGCCTGTGAGTTCAAACTTTACAGACACAGTCAGACCTGCACGATCTCAGCCTGAGATTTTTCTTCCTGTGCCTTGTGTTTGGAGCAGAGGAAAACACATGGAAATGTGACTTGTGCACGAATCAAGGCAGCACTGTCAGTCTGCATGTAGCCTTGTTCCTTTGAACTGGAAACAGGAACAAAAACAGGCAACAGGAACAGTCTGAGAAAAGAACAGCAGAAGAAACCGGGTAAAAACTGAGTACGCACACGTCTCCTCAGGAAGCAATGGAGTGTACTGCAATCAGAGATGAAACAATGAACCAAATGAACAGCTTGAACAGTTCAAAGTTCAGCTGCTGTGCAAATGTTATCATCTGCTCTCGATGTCAGCAAACCGTCCAGCCTCAGCCAAAGTTCTGCTATGAACTACGGGGAACGTGTTTTCAGCTGTACTCTTGAACAAAGAAGCCTCCTGCTCCTTACCGCAGAGCCAGAAACGTTACGGGCACGTGCAAGGAAATACAGAATGTGGCCCTTTTCTCCGGTTCTCAATCTGTCAAACATCATTCCTTTGCTTTGATTTCATATATTACATGTGGCAGAGAGCGCTCTCTCTAGGAATGAATCAACCTTAAGGCACAGGTGGACAGATACATTTTACTATTGAGCGACCCACAGCTATAAACGCTGACAGTTATCAGCACTTCTCGAGAAGTTATCTACTCATTTCATTAAATCTCAAACAGCATTCATGCCTTGACCTTTAACATCATCCTCTTCTTTAAGAGGAAAACTAAATTTACCAAGTCATGTAGACTTGAAATTTTTCTAATCATTTACTGTTCAATTCTTCAAAAGGTGTTAAAAGGTTCACAGGTCCCATGTCAGTATTTTAGTCTGCTCAGCAGAAATGTGATTATAAAAATACAAAAATACAATTGGCTGTATTGTTAGGGCCTAGTAACAAAATGCCTTGGAAACACGGGGCTCCTTCCACAGGTGCCTATGGAAATGCAAAGATTTTGGGTCTGGATGTGTTACAGACTCCTTCCCCCACCCAGGGAAAAGGACAAAGGGAGGGCTTCCAAAGCTTCAGGCAGCAGCACTGTGACTCCTG